TTATATATTTTCTTTTATTTTCTCTTTTCCCTTTTATTTTCTCTCTCTTTTTTTTTTCCCCTCATGGAACACCTTGAAACATAAATCCCCCCCGAAAACACATTTTGGGCTGCAGCTTCCAGGGAGGCCAACTGCATCAGCCTCCACCAGCAGGGACCCTTCTGGGGCTGAAGGCTGCAACGTCAGACCCCTCACTTCGGGACAGAGCCTGTGACATCCCCTGTGCTGCAGTCCAGCTGCAAGCACAAGGGAGGCTGCCTGCAGAAAGCGGAACTCGGAGGCTCTRTTTTGTCCCTGTTAGCTTTATATATATCTTTTAAGCTGTATATCTTCTTTTTTTTCAAACATCCTTGGGAAGGAGCCTCTTTGCTTTGTGTTTGTACCAGTGCATTATACAGTTATGCCCAGCACAATGGCAGCCTGTGGCTTGCAGGCATGTTATATAACATGAACAATTTCCTTATCTTTTTTCCTCTTTTTAATTTGAGCGAGCAGGAGATGCTGCCAGGGCGATGGGTAGGCACCCACAAGGACAGGCAGCAATGAGGACATCACTTGAACTCTGGTGCAAGTTGCATGGGCAGCAGCACACGTCTGCTTCCATGCTTGCAAACTCAGCTTTAAAAAATTGGGGAAATAAAACACAAGACAGGCCTTCCTCTAGCAAGGCTTTACTATATGTTTTGTTACAGGAACACTAGAGGAGGTAAAAATAAAGACGAAAAGGTGGGAATAAGAGGTGTGAATAAATGGGCGTTTAAAATGAAAAAAATTTTATTGCTATATTAGTGGCAAAGACGCCTGTTTACACCCCAGCAAAATCCTGATGCCAAAGGTATAAAATCATGTAAAAAGGYTCTACTGAGAGAACACGTCTGTAATTATCAGCAGTGCTGCCAGTGCTGGGAAACGTGTATTGTGGCAGATTTTTATACCGCAACCTCACACTGTTTTGCTTCCCGACATGCCCCTAGTGACTGAGCTCATGTTAGGCTCTGGTTCGTTAGGGTTTTGCCAGTTTTAGCTGTAAGGGCCAGCACATAAAGGCGTCTGCAACCCTCAATTAGCGCTATGTTTGTATAGCTTTCTAATGTTGAAAGTGATTGTTTGGGGGGAGAGAAATACGCTGCTGTACATGATCTCCCATGCCAAACTTGCAACTAGAGCAGATCTTTATAGGCAAGCAATAAATCCCTGAAATGAAAGGTTTACGATGGAAATGCTGACAAACCCTTAGCTAGCCCATTACAAATGACAGCGTTACAATTCAGTAGCTAAAAGCTAAATTAGCAGCAGCACGGGTAGCCTTCAAGGACTGGAATTGCAAGCCAAGTGTGTCCTGCAGACCTTACYGGTACAAGGATATGCAATGGAGCTATGGGTGCTTAATTTGACTTACAATCTCTCTAATTAGTGGTTGGTARGCTAGCTTGCTTGTAAGGGCAAAATGAGTGCTGCCCCTTTGATATTCATGAAGAATTTTTTTGGATGGCCATTCGAAGAACATCCATCAAGTAAGAACAAGAAGCCAGTTGTTTTAATGCATTTTTTCCTATAGAGGGTGGAGTCCTTTCTCTTTGCTGTGCCACAAAGCATTCTGCTTGCCCCCTCGCTGGCGGCCGGACAAAGTCCTGCATTCCAGGACGTCTCCATTGCACGCAGGGGCAGCACAGCAAAACCGAGAATCATGTGTGAACTGCTGAAATCTACCAAGAAAAATCTACATTTTAATTGTTTTTTGGGGGGGTTGTTGTTGTTTTGTTTTGTTCCTTTGTGTTTTTGTGTTTGTTTGTTTGCTTTGCATCATCTCTGTTCCCTCTACCCTGTAGGCATGCAGGGCAACTTGAGTATCACTGCAGTGCTGCCTGCAGTCTTCACCAAAATTAGGGCGCTYTGGTGTGGTATGCTGCCAATGCTGAGTAAAATTTTCTCCAGGCTTAGTTTAGTCTAAGCTGGGARCCTGCAAAGACTTGTCCGTGTGTCATGTGCCGTGCAGCAATTCATCCGCGTAGGGTTTGACTCTGCACAAAGTTCATCTCGTGGACAAGTCCTGGCAGGAGAAGGTGGGACGGAGACGGTCGGATGCTGAGGTTTGGGCTGCAGAGCAGCTCAGCTGCTACCCTGGAGCTCCTGATCTGCACTGGGTGATTATAGAGAGCAGCTGCCTTTCGTGGTGCAGTAAATCCATCCCTGGCCACAACACAAATGATGATGTTGAAGGGTGACCTGGTGGAACTAGAGGTAGTCTCGATAGACAAACTCCTGAGGACTTCCATAGAAATGGCACCCATGGTGCTGTGAATAGGTTGATATGTCAGCTTTGAATGAAGTGGTACCAAAAGACTTTTATCATCTTTGGTGTGAAACAAAGCAGCATTGATGGCAAGATTGCTCTGGTGAACGTGGTGCCCAGGCTTTAGGTGAACTCTGTCTGAAGGCCTCTGCCTTTAGCTTCCCAGCGACAGATCATTTTCATCTTTAAATTCTAAGTTCTGTGGACAATATGACCTGATTTCTTACTTTCCTAGCTAGGATTCAGCCTKCTCCTCTTCAGTAACCTGCCCTTCAGGTTCAGGTCTCTCTCTTTCAAACCATCTCKTTTGGTCTAAAGCATTTCTACAGTGTGGAAAGGCCCATTTATCTTCCGAGCATTTTTAAAGTAATTTTTAAGCACAGCTTGAGTTGCTGGGTTTGTTTACAATAAAACACTCTGATTAAACTGTGTAGCAGTTAGTTCATCAGGGCAGACGTTGAGGCAGAACAGAAAAATCCTTTTTTTTCATGATTCTGTACCTAAAAACCAAAAGCGGTGGGGAGAATTAGGGTTCATTAGGCAAGCCTATATATGCATCTAATTAAATTCAGCAGGAGCATATCTTTAATCACTTTGTTGTGTCAATACGTAGCGTCATGTCTGTATACATACCTATGCAATGACTTTCCATAAAGCAACTTACCGGTTTGTCTGCATGAAGTGCAGACGTCAGAGCGTGGATATGTTAATTCTGTGTCACGGTGATAAAGCCTCAGAGGATCTGCTGCTTTTGTTTGCTCATGGTCATCATGCTCGCTCCTAGGACATGCCTTAAGCACCTGTAGTGCTCATAGTGCGGTCGCTTTTGGTTCGGATCTCCATTTGCTGGTTGGAGGGTTCAAGAGCCCATCAAAGATTTGAGCAACCACATAGTGCATCGTGCCAGGTACCTGAAAGCAAAGCAGCTTCCTTCCAATGAAGAATCTGATTTCTAAATCTGTCGGTAACTTTTTCCTGCAGTGCTTACCTATTTCTGCTTCATTGCTATGCTAAGGAAGGAATTTGCTGCACAGGAATTTGATCGATGTTGCTGCAGGATGCAACTGGAAAAATCTGATCACRTTTGCAAACAGATTCACGCTCAAATACAAACTTGTTTTAAATATGAAGGCTTCATTTTCAGTGTTCCCTTTGATGAGGGTGCTAGGAAGGCGTGCTCTGTCGTGTGGCTTTTCCGTCCAGTAAAAATACAATTAGAAGCTTCAGTTTCTGTGTTGGCTACAATGGTTGCTTGTGAATAATCAACAGGCCAAAAATTAATTCCAGCAATCTGTTCACGCACAGTGGCAAGCTTAGAGGAATGCTGTTTCTTTGAAATGTTCCCACTCTTCCCTTGCATGACTATTGTCAAGCCTCTTTATCTCTTTGTATTTCAATTTCTTCCATCTCAGTGGGAAGGAATCTGTTTTTCCTTAGCTCATATCCCATCATTAAGAATTCTCGCGTCGCCGTTTRGACAGCACAGCTCCTGGGCTCCCACATGCTGCTCACGTGTAGGGGCTGTAACTGCTAGGGCTGATACAGTGTGCAACAGAAAGGAACAAAACTGGGAACCTCTGAGGTTCTTACTGTGTAAGACCAGGTATTTGTTCTCAAAATATCAGATTTTACAGTATGTCACATGGTGTAAATGTGCTGTGACCATTGTGCCTGTAGAGAGGAGCTCTAAAGCTGCTGTGTGTTTTGGATGACCGCTGTGTGCGGGGAAAGTCGGGAGTCACCGTGCATGGGAAGCGGGATCTTCCAAAAACATTAAAAATTGCCAGTAATGAAATTGAGCCTTTCAAAGTTGCTTTGTGGGCTTCCGCGGGGCAGGGAGACGGGATGAGCTCCAAAGGCACCCCTAAAGAATCACCCCGTGCCTGTGGCTGTTTCCCTTATCTACTGTTGCAGTTTCTGTTGGGTTCTGCTGCTTCGAGCCGTCCTCTCCTTCCCTGAGAATGGAAACTATGGAGAAGGAAGGGTCTTGCGGGGCAAGTTT